CTTTTATGATTTTTAATAAAATCACCATTTATTTTCTTATTGAATTATTTGTCCAAGTAAATTGCAGGTGAGGTCTTGACTCCTCATTATTTAATATTGTTACTTTGTTCATCTCAACTAATTTTCAAATAAACTGTTACACTTGGTATGGATAAACAAGTTTTCCATATTTCATTGCAGTCTTGCTGTGTCTTTATGCTCAGCACAGGTGCAATTTACGATACACCACCAGGACTCAATTCATAACATCATCATTCATTTATATTGTAAATCTGAATTTTCTGAATGCAGTTTTCTGTGAAAAACAAAAAAAGGTTAATTGTAGAAAACAATGCTATTTGTAAGATATAAAAAGATCGAAAAAAAAAAAAAGGACACAGACAGAGGAAGGAAAAAAAAAAAAAAAAGATTTTCCCGGGTCCTGGATTTGCAATGGCATCCTGTGTTCTTGGATGTGCCGTTGCCAAGGCAACAGTAACTTGGTGACCTCGTTATTTCAGCCTAATCCAGCGCTGAAATTATGGTTGCTCCACCCTTTTGCCTGGCTGCCCTGATAACATAATCATTGCAAATGAGGCACAGGAAGAAGAGGGAGATAGAGGGAGAGAAAGAGAATGACAGAGTTAGACTGAGATCCAAAGATGAGAAGAGAATTGGGGAGTGAGAAAAAGAGAGGGAACCACAGCACTAACATGCAGAGAATGACTACATGAGTGAAGGAGTGTTGGTGTGACTGATGAATAAATCAACAGTGAATCAAACCATAGCATATAACTACTATAGTTTTTGAATAAAATAACTCTTGAAATTGCCTGGAGACCAACCATTATCCTGTTTCAAACAAGATCATTTGGCCAGCTTGCAAAAAAAGAAACCATAACTGCACTTAAACTGTAATCTGACAATACACTCTCTTAAAATAAGGAACTAACAAGGTTGCAAATTCACAATTTACATATCTGACATGCATTCAAAATAACCAGACATTGTAACAAAGTTGAATAGGAAGTAAAACCTAAGGCAGTTTTTTATAATCTCAGACTGTATTATGACATATTTAAAGAAAAGGGTTTTAACGGCACTGATCGACTGTTTCTCTGCTCTTAAGCACTTTCAACTCACATTTTAAATACAACTAAATGGCTCAATAATTAATTGGAACGTAAACTACCATCTAAAGGAGCACATATATGAATGATTAAAAAATATTTATTTGAAATAAACATGGAAACTAATTTGAATCTATGCCTCTTTAATAATTCACCAAATTTGCATTTCATTAACTGCATATCTCATTACCTCTGACAGAGACACTTACATATTCAAAAATATCATTAGGCTTAAATTCTATTGCATAAATTAGCATGAATAATGCAGGGCTGAACTTTAAACTGCTAGATAAAATTGTGCTGATGATTTGGTTTCTTTTCAGATCATCATATAGTATACATTTGATAAAAAGTAGAGTGGCCCGGGTCAGATGTTTCACAGTAGTGTCAATTATCATCTGCTTAAGGGTGCAGTGTGTAGATTTCAGCGACATCTTGCAGTTCGGTTGCTAGTTTCCACTAAGGGCTCGGCCCAGTGCTCACCCCTCCCTTTCGAAGAAGCTTGCTCAAACGGGACAAATCATTGTTTATACTCGACACGTCCGCATGAGTGTAAAAGAGCGCAGGGAAAAAAATTACGTGATTGTCAATCAATCAATAAATCAATTTTTTATTTATATAGCGCTTTACAACAACCATGAGTTGATCAAAGCGCTGATCAACCTTTCAAAAACCTTTCAAAAACAAAGTTGGAGCAACTTTACTGAATGTAGCATGCATTGTGCAAATGGCAGAGGACAAAAATATGTTTGGAGTGTGTACACACATCTCCACATTATTCATGAGAGGGAACTCCCTCCAACTGACTGGTGAACCAGCGTTCACAATCTGAAACCACTGTTCATACATTCTATTTAAAATTTTGTCTCAAAACAAACAGAAAATGCTCTCAGAAAATGCCTAATACTGTAGTTATACAATAAAACATTTAAAATATACAGAGCAAAAGCATTGAACAGTTCTGGTTTTGACAGTGGTGAGAAAGCAGAGCAGTTTAAAGTTAACGCCTGAAAAACTGATAACTATTCTGAAATTCTTTGGCACTGTCTCTACAATATTATCTGAGGACTTCAGTCCATTTATAGCTTGCCAGGCTTATACAGAATCTGTCATTTACTTTGATTGACACTTACACATAAAAGGATGTAACAAAGCGATGTAAAACCTTTTATGCATAACTAGTTACAGTATAGAGAATTATTTTTCCAACCATGAGGCACAATAACACACAACTGAAATAGCTTGAGAAATTATTGATTTGTTTAAAACTGCTCAGCATGTTGACATTCATGTGGATATTGACTCTGTTTGAAAGAGGTCATGGCAACATTAACAAGTAATAATGTCTTTTTACCAGCCCAATTCATAACATTAACAGAAAATGCTTTGCTGTCTTCTTAAAAATATCCAATATAGTTTTTGCCTGTGGTGGATTTCAACCTCATACACTTATCTCTCTTTGATCCAAATATACTGTACAGACAGCCTATAGCAGCCCAGCACAGTTGAAACTAATGCCGAATTTAGCAGAGACATTCAAAATGTGGGAGCAAAACAGAACAAGTACTGTACCCCTAAAAGAAAACAGGGCTACTGTGTGTGTGTGTGTAGGAACACCTGTTCAATTTTTTCATTAATGCAATTATCTAATCAACCAATCACATGGCAGTTGCTTCAATGCATTTAGGGGTGTGGTCCTGGTCAAGACAATCTCCTGAACTCCAAACTGAATGTCAGAGAGGGAAAGAAAGGTGATTTAAGCGATTTTGAGCGTGGCATGGTTGTTGGTGCCAGACGGGCCGGTCTGAGTATTTCACAATCTGCTCAGGGATTTTCACACACAACCATTTCTAGGGTTTACAAAGAGTGGTGTAAAAAGGGAAAAACAGGAGAATGGGCCGACTGATTCAAGCTGATGGAAGAGCAACTTTGAGCTCTTAAATCAGAATTCATTCTGTTTATACTGTATTATTCTGAATAAACAGAATGAGAACATGGATCCATCATGCCTTGTTACCACTGTGCAGGCTGCTGGTGGTGGTGGTGTAATGGTGTGGGGCATGTTTTCTTGGCAAACTTTAGGCCCCTTAGTGCCAACTGGGCATTATTTAAATGCCAAAGCCTACCTGAGCATTGTTTCTGACCATGTCCATGATATGGCCACCATGTACCCATCCTCTGATGGCTACTTCCAGCAGGATAATGCACCATGTCACAAAGCTCAAATCATTTCAAATTGGTTTCTTGAACATGATAATCAGTTCACTGTACTAAAATGTTTAAGGCACTATTGCACTATTATTTAAGGCACTGCACTATTATTTAGAAGGTAAATTATGGATATTGTAGTATATTTTGTATTGTGACGAAAGTCTAATCGTGGTGTGTTAATAACTGACAAGGAGATAAGCAGGATGGCATACAAGGAGAAAAGAGTTCAACGTGTTGATTATTGTGCACATAGATATAGAGAAGCTGCTTACTAGTGCCATCTAGAGGTAACTGATGTCATGGCAAATACTACACAGGAGGTGAATGTTATGTTGTGATTGTTGTGAATTGTGCAACATCAGACGAGCTCGGTTTACATTTGTGAATAGGATCCAAAAATGTGCATTTGGAAGAGGCAATGTTTGTCCTCTGTCATTTACTCTGTCCTTTATAATTCTCTCTTTTACTCACAAACGCATAAACAAACACACACTCTCACCTTCCAATGTCCTCACACTCAAGTTACCATGGCTGAACTAACCACTTCCATCTGTAACTGTAAGCTCTTCATTTATACCATCACAACGCTTGCCAGACAAAATGGCTTCCACATGGCAATCAGACAGAACAACAACAACTGCAGGGAGAGAAGGAGATTTAGAAAACAAAATCCAGCACTGCAGAGAGAAACCATCAGCCAGACAAAACAAAACAAGACAAGATACAAGACAAACCTTGTCTTCAGCACATCCTGACTGAATACAAACCATCTGTTCAAATAAACAGATTGGCAATATATAAATGAGAGAAGACGCAATATTTTTATAGGCCTAATTACCGTGTGGTTAGTTTTAGATAACTTACACATATCTGCTAGAACTAATATCTCTTAAAGGGACAGCTGACCTCAAAATATAACTCTTTTATTTTTCGCTCAGTCAATTTTGCAAATCCATATGCTGTTATTTTTTGTTAATTGAGCACAAAATATATACATATTTTATCTTCTTTCAGTCTTTTGCATCAAAATACTATTCTGTTAATGTTTTTGCAGCAGTGGTAGCTAAGCTTGCAAGCTAATGGTTTTTAAGAGAAGTAAAAGTTTAGGGTAAGTATTTGTTTATCCACCATCTGTAACTTCTTTAACAACATGATATGCCTAATATTATTGAAAAAAATTGTATATATACTGTATGTGTGTGTGTGTTTTCAGACCAAAGAGAACAACATATACATGGTTTCTGAAGTTGTCATAGCTTTGGATAAACAAAAATTTAAAGTTACATTGTAAAATTTAATGTATTCAATGAAAATTTGTCCCATACTGCAGCTTGTAAATTTCAATCGTGGTTGTGTTCGGATTAAATAAAAGTAAATAAAAATGGTACCTTGTGTGCAAAAAATAAACAAATTTTTAGTTCATTAACACAAAAACACCACTGGTTCTCTGTTGCAATAAACATGACGTGCCAGTTTCAAATATGAGGGTGGAGAAATTTAAGAGCTGCAAAAAAATTACAGCATATTAAACTGACATGGAAATAAATTAAAGAAATAAATGTTTAACATCATCCATTCCTGCAAATAATACATTAAAAAAACCTTAATGTAAATTATTTATTTAAAAAACAAATAAATGAAAAAAAAAAAAAAACCTTTTTCAAATAATGACTGTTGACATGTTGACAAAATAATGTGTTTATTTGTCTTTATTATGCAAGTATGGTCCATACACATTCAGCACCAATTTAACACACTGGAGAGGAGATACTTCCGAGAGAAGATACAGCATTCGTACATGATTGCATTTGAACCGGTATTCACAAACTAAGGCCACTTCTCTGAACAGAAGACTCACACACGACAGTGGCACATCTTTTTTTGTCAAGAAGGAAGTCACAAACATACAATTAGACATAAACATGTCGAGTTATTACTTTGTTCATTCCGAGATACTGCACTGTGCATTTCCAAAGAGACTGGATAAACGGAAATGCCAGTATTTTGGTAAACATATTTCTCCTCCACTCTTTATCTCTTTGTATTTCTCTTCCCCCTTTACTGGGCCACAGAGGCCACAGTTTTCCCTCCAGTCGTCACCAACTGTATGAGGCTGCCTGAGGCTGGCCGGCCTGACCCTGTAGCCCAGCTGTAGAAGGTTCTGGAACAGAGAGACAGGTGTAAAATGATGATGGTAAAGGATGGATAGTGAGTGTGTGTGTGTGTGTGTGTGTGTGTGAGAGAGAGAGAGCAAGATAATGAGAATTGGGAGGAGGGAGACAGAGAGAGGAAATTAAGAACCGAATGGCAAGCCTTGTCTACTCTGAAACATTTGGGAGAAACTCTAGACAATTTAACTCATTGTAGCAACTGAAGTAAGACTACATATTAATTGCCTCGAACACAAAGACCATTCATACTCCTCCATCTCTCTGTGCTTCTCTAATACAGCCGGGTTTTCTGCGGCTCCTCTGGGATTATGGAGTTGCATCAAATCCTCATCTTAATCTGTGCTAACTGGCAGGAGAGATTTGGCTATACATCTAAACCAGATATTCGAAAAAAGTGCTAAGGGGTCGTTCACACAGAACACTTTTATCCATACCACTGCATGTTTTTCCTATGTTTTTTCCTCTCTTGTTTTTCTATGCATTAGATTAGATGGACATGTTTGACAGTTGCAGTCACATCATTTGCAGCATCTTACATACAGTATGACACGGCATTCTCAAAACGTGGTACTCAAGTTATAAATCCAACTTTTAAAAAATCCTCAATTTTTTTTACACTGCCCTGTATCTCACATCAAGAGGCATTTGTATTAATACTAGTTCCACTGAATATACTGTAAATACATGCATTCCTGTAAAAGGTCTGTGCTTGGGTTGATGCTTGACATTATTCACTTAAATTCTGTTGTAATTCAACATTCAAACAGGATGTGTTTGCTTCTAAGAGGCTTCTACAATTGCCTGTGGCTTTTTTTTGGTTAATATTACAGATTCAAATCAAATGTAACATTTGAGGAAGGTTTTTAAGACAGTTCTATTTTATGGGAGCGATATTTTGTGTTGAAATCAAATCTGGGATAATAATAATTCTAGGTGGATGACATGAGACCTTCATGAAATAATTCACAACAATGGATTGTGGATTAATAATGTGTATTTCACAATATTCAGATCCCTGAATAACATGAAGCAGGCAGTCTTTCGGAAGAACATCACTGCCCTCTTCTGGTGAGAAATGGATGCTTTTTAGTTTATCCTATTAGTTTATCAGTTTATTAGTTTATCCAGTCTATGCTAGGCTGTCCTTTGTGGCCTGTAGAGCCATGACATACTGCATTAAATCCAATATGTAGTGGATGCATGCTTTTTATTTCCCAGACCTGTTTGGCGCAAACAGTTGATTCTGAAATTTGCATTACTCCTGTCAATCACAGAGCTAATTGCCTGCAATAGATACTAACCATTAAACCCTGCACCTAGACCCACACCCCAACCTTAAACTGTCCACGTATAAGATTTAATGCAGTATGTCATTGCACAACAAGCTGCAGCAAGGACATCTTCTATTGTTGAGGCTTTTTTCTATTTTTCAAACAGGTCTAATCTGCGATTTATCACATTATCAGCAAACGTAATGAAATATGGTGCACAGTGGACATGGGAAAAGTGCACTCACTCTGCGATGTATTCCAGCGAAGTCCAGCTTCCAAAATCTGCGTCAGGCATGAATTTTCTGTTCATTGGTGTGTCCAAGGTAACCCTGGAGGATGATTTCATAATGTTGTTATCTTGGTGGAAGATGAGACTGTGGAACAGAGCCTGCGGCGATAGCTTAAACTAGCCTGGCCTTTCGAAAACACTCACACCTCATACAGTTAATGCAAACAGACAACAGTCAAATGTGTACCACACAGATCTCTAAGATTATAAATGACAGCAGACGCTCACACACACAGAAACAGAGCATTTATTTATATTATCTATGAACATGGGTTAATGGATACTTAAATACAGGCCTTGAAAACAAACTGATTTACTAGTTCCTTAAAGCACATCCACATCCAGTCATTGAGAATGATCTGTTGGTGCACATCATTTACATTTTTATTGTTTTTTTGTAATCATTTGTAGTCCAGAGTTTTCCCTCTTTGTCGCCATCTCTGTTCGAAATCTGCAATTGCAGTCATTCGCAGAATTATCAACTTAATGTGAGTTGTAGTTTGACACCGCACGGCGTGGATGAACACAATGTTTGAGGAGAGTGTGTGGCTGTCGGTCAACGCGGCGTTGTGGATACTGGCATTTAGAATCACAGATTATTCTTTTTGGAAGTATGACCAACATTTTCACCAGAGAATCTCATCTGAACATCCACTTTTGTTCTGGTTCTGACATTGCAGTAAATCGCGCTGATTAAAACTAAAAATCGCTTATCATATCATGCAAAACTGTGCAAATTATACTTTGTTCTCAAATTGTTAATGTTAACAACGTCAGCATTGCGTGACTACATGTAATGCCCCTCCAATATGTATCCTTGTTTTAGCATGGGTCCACTTGCAGTCTCTTTTTCCGAACGAAGTCTTTTACATCACTTTTACAACGGGTGAATCTGTTGTCACTGGTTATTGTCGTTTGAACCTTTCTGGATAAAATTGATAAGTTTAATTATATCAAGTGCTGTGAGAAAAGGCTATAAATCTCCACCTCTAACATCCTCACACACAATATAGCCTACTAGCTTATCTATAACGTTTTAGATGTGACGTAATGACGCAAAGACATGCTCGAAATCCACCAGTACCACTGGAATTAAAAACATTATTACAAGCTTACAGCTTTGAATCGAGCTACGGCAAGCAGATAGTTTTAAACACTGGCTGGTTATGTATTTTTTCTATTTTGGATCATTTTTAAACTAAAAAAGCTACGGACTGCAGCTTTAAGCAATGCTCAATATTATATATTTCTACTAAAACAGAAAGATCAGTGATCAGATGATTGACAGATGGTCTTACGGTAGAATGGCCACAGCTCCAGCTCCAGATGGAAGACCGCTGTTTTCGCCAGCCAGACTTTTGCACAACTGATGGACTGCAGCCTTGGCCATGCCGTATCCCACCATTCCTACATCCAGAGAGAAATGCAAAGAGGTGAATGGAGAACAGAAGCCTCTTCACATGCTTTGTGCTACAGCTCTCGCTCCATACAGCAGACTATGGGGGACACAATGCATGCGCACACAGCACTTGAGAGCAAGCCAACTAAACAATTTGCCTAACAATGTCTTACAGAAAACAGCTGTTGCTTTGAGGTTTGGTCAATAATAATTTGGTTGGATGCCTCAAGCAGAGAATAAAAGAATTCCTCCTCCACAGTCAGACTATTTTTTTTCTTACCAATGAAGCTCTATGTGCATTAATACCAGTCTATTTTAAGGATTCACATCATGAGGAATTCAATTTCATTTCCCAATGTATTTTAACTCAAAACATCAGTTCAAAAACACCATCTATTGGAAAAAAAAACATCTAATTTGATCATTTCAAAAACTTTTAAATATGACTACCCATATATCACACAGTGAGGTGATAATAATAAGTACGGAAGCCCAGAACTGCAACCTCAAAAAATAAATAAAAAATAAATAAATAAAAATAATCTAGCATTTCGAGATTAAAGTCGAAACATTTCGAGATTAAAGTCGAAACATTTCGAGATTAAAGTCGAAACATTTCGAGATTATAGTCGAAACATTTCGAGATTAAAGTCAAAACATTTTGAGATTAAAGTCGAAACATTTCGAGATTAAAGTCGAAAAATTTCGAGATTAAATTCAAAACATTTCGAGATTAAAGTCGAAATATTTCGAGAGATGAGAGTACGAGAATACAGGCTGCGTGTGTGCTTGCCATTTTCTCACATTGCCGCACACACAGGCATTCAAAATGGCGCATAGCGAGTTTCACACTGTGTGTGTGTGTGTGTGTGCTTGTGTGTTTGTTTGTTTTATCAAAGGAAATTCAACAGGTGCCAATCTACCAGCATTAGGCTACCATTAGAACATTATAAAATATACTAGGCTATCAGAGAATGTCTCCTCAACCATTAGTGGTTATTAAATCTGAGGAAATCACAGGATACGGCCAAATGATTGGATACAGAATGATGCACTTAAAATGTATGTATTTACGGTGAGGGAGACAGAACGGTTACTGTTGTGTTCTCGACCCAGATAGTGTTGCCAAGTCCAGTGTTTCCCAACCCTGTTCCTGGCGGCACACCAACACTGCGCGTATTCTTTGTCTCCCTAATCAGACACACTTGATTCAAATCATCAGCTTATTAACCCATTTGATCATGAGCTGATGAGTTGAATCAGGTGTGTTTGATAAGGGAGACAAAGAATATGTGGTGTGCCGCCAGGAACAGGGTTGGGAAACACTGGCCTAGACGAGCACGAAAACACCTCAAAAACACTGCCACTAGCACCTGTGTAGAATTTTGTTGAAAGCCCAGATAAAAGTAAGCTTCTATTTTGTGTTGATCCATGGCAGTTCGACTTCACAAGTGCATTTATTTACACACACACACACACACACACAGGCGCGCGCTCTGAGCTAGTGGAAACGCACTGTTATGAATGCACACTTCTATTATCGTAATGTTTTGACTTTATTCTCGAAACGTTTTGACATTAAAGGGTTAGTTCACCCCAAAATGAAAATTCTGTCAGTATTTACTCACCCTCATGTTGTTCCAACCCCGTAAGACCTTCGTTCATCTTCGGAACACAAATTAAGATATTTAAGATATTAAGATCGCTCCTGCATACAGTCCATAGGCTTCTTGAGGGACTGGCTCTTGCTGTCCTCGAAAAGTCATTAAAGACATCGTTAAAATAGTCCAAGTGACTACAGGGGCTCAATCTTAACTTTATCAAACGACGAGAACACTTTTGTGCGCAAAAAAACAACAAAAATAACGACTTTATTTCAACTATTCGTTTATTTCTCCCTCTGCACGAGTCAGGTTACTAGTTTAATAGCGTAAGCTTCTGTTATTGTACGTCACACGCATCACACACACATGACCAGCGTCGGCCAATAGTGAGCCTACGTGTGACGTAGCTCTACGCAATCACACTACGTTAACTGACTTACAGGCTCATGGAGAAGGAAGTGAATAGTTGAAATAAAGTCGTTATTTTTGTTGTTTTTTTGCGCACAAAAGTGTTCTCGTCGTTTGATAAACTTAAGATTGAGCCCCTGTAGTCACTTGGACTATTTTAACGATGTCTTTAATGACTTTTCGAGGACAGCAAGAGCCAGTCCCTCAAGAAGCCTATGGACTAGTATGCAGGAGCGATCTTAATATCTTAAATATCTTAATTTGTGTTCCGAAGATGAACGAAGGTCTTACGGGGTTGGAACAACATGAGGGTGAGTAAATACTGACAGAATTTTCATTTTGGGGTGAACTAACCTTTTTAATCTTGACATTTTTCAACTTTAATCTCAAAATATTTCAACTTTAATCTCAAAATTTTTCGACTTTAATCTCGAAACATTTCAACTTCAATCTCGAAATGCTAGATTTTTTTTTTTTTTTTTTTTTTTACAGATTTTTTTTTTTTAAGTTGCGGTTCAGGGCTTCCATAAATAAGTAATAATGACAATAATAGTAATAAATAATAGTAATAAAAATAATAAGGAAGAGATATATGATTCAGGACACCTACACAGAATTCTTAAAAAGGCACAGTAAAAAATAGTTCAGTTTAATTTTACGGTGTCAATGAGAGTGTGAAACTGGTGAAAAGAAAAAGAGGAATATTGTTTTCAAAACATTTTGTACAATAGACATTTTTCAGTAAATACTACACAAAAAATGTTTACATCATGGATAGATGGATGGATTATAGATTATTAATGGGAATACTCTGGTTGTTTTCAATGTAGAGATCATGTCTTGCCAGATCCTCCTCTCTAGATGTTTTGTTGGCTTGGCATCTGGATTCTATAACCAGCATACTTGTAATAAGGGGGTTAAAAACTTTTTTCCAAGAATCCAGTTTTTTTTCACACTCAAACCCAAAATGCACGATAGCTGTTCCCAAAAAAAAAACAAAAACTTTAAACCCACAGAGCCAATAAAAAACAGAGGTGGAGAAGCCCCATATATTTTTTTCTTTTCAATATTATAGAAAAAAAAGAAAAAGAACAAAAAGCTAGAGGAAATTCCATGTTTTGTGAAAGTTTCAGCCACACTGCATGACCCTTCATGACTGAATGAACATTACAGGTCACAGTTTAATCACATGTTCTGTCTCTCGGATTTGGCTTAAATTCTCTTTGGTATGTCTGATATCCAGAGTGAACTTTGGCTTTGAGGTCAGTCAAACCCACCACACCAGGACTTCGCAGCTATTTCGGCTTTTGAACAGATTTTTATGTATTATAAAGCATTTAAAGTCAATGATTAAAAACATATTTTATTGCAACTTAAACATCTCCATTTTAATTTAAGTTGGACATTACAATTAGGATGTGGTTTCATTCCATTCTTAAGTAAGTGAACATTTTGTTTTTGCATAAATCATTTAATATGTGTAATTACAAAGAACTTTATTTTGCAAAATTGCAAAAACACAAACAACATTTTACTCTTTAGCAACTTAACAAATACTACAACTGGCATCTAACATACCGGTGACAACTGATTCACTTTTCCAAACAGAAATCAGAGAACCATTGTTTCAGCTTGTGGTAACTAGTAACTAACTACTAGCACATGACACTGATCTTGTGCGCTTGTAAGAGCTGACAGCCCATCAGAAATGTTCACCAGAGCTTGCTCCTGTCTCTTTGAACAAGGTACATCAAACGCTCCAACCAGAGGATCCCATCATATTAAATCAAAGCAGTGTTCATCGCTGCAGGGGATTTCCTGTCGAAATCAGTTCTGTGTGGTTAAGGAATTCAAACTCCTAAACACAGTCCACATGTGTTCCCTTCTCCAAAAAACCTGCTGACTCATTCACCCTCCCAGGCCTCTCAGCCAATCAGAGCCGTGTGCTGATGTTGGAGGTTTTAAATAGGCTGGAGGCAGCCTCTATTGTGTGCTTTATTGAGTTTTGCCACTAAAGCTATGAACCTAACATTTCACATCTGGGGCACTGAAACGATTTGGGATGTGAGGCAATATGTAGAAGTAATCAAATACAATGGATGTGACAGCCAATTCAAAACTATATACACTTCCAATGGCAGTGAAAAAACCCTTGGTGTTATAAATGAATGCTATTACTGACTTCACACACCTAAGGGAGAACCTCATGAAGACTCGAGTGTTTTCCTACATAAACAATATTATTTAGCCACTTTGAGGTATAAATGTACCTTTACACAATAAACATCAAATTTTGAAGTATCCTTAGGTAAACCTATGGTGAAAACACATTTACAAGATGGGTTTTCTAGTAGGCGACACATCTCAGGATTATAAGGATGGATGTTACTACTGTACCTGGAGTGCCATCCAGTGATGCCTTCGCTCCAGAGAGAGTCAGCAGGCCTCCTGGCTTCAGATGGAGCGATGCAAGATGACTGGAAATGGTTGAGGTCCAGACACTCTGTTTCCACATCATATCAGTGTTCTTGTACAAGTCTAAAACGAGTAAGAGAGAGAGAAAGTTGATACTATTCCAGCAAAATCAATTAAAATTATGAACCGGTTGACTCCCTGACGAAGGCTTATATGTCGAAACGCGTTGGTGTGTTTTAAAGGTTTAAAGATGACCAACCCCTAACAGCGAAGGCTTTTAAATCTTTCTAAAGAGAGTGCCTCAGAGTTTCCTGAGTTTTTGCTACATTTAATAATCCCATCCAAAGAGCACATCAAGCAAACATTTTGAGTCCTGGAAGCGTTCCTCTACAGACATTTGGTGAATTATGAACCGATTGAAATTTACTTCATTCATAAGTTCATAAGTACAAATCCCCCTTCTGTTTCATTTTTAGCTAATTTGAAAATGTTTTCAGCAACCAATAAGAGTGCAGTACGCTCAGCTATGCTTAAACAAATTTCTTCCGTGTTTAACAGAATTCCACAGAAAATGTAACAAATAAATAAATAAATATAAATACATAAATAAATGTAATGAAATAAAAAAGTACTATAAATAAATAAAGCATGCAAAAGCTGTCTGGGAAGGCAAATAAGGCGTGCTCACCTTTTGAGCTGCAATTTCCTCCAGCCCATCCTCCAGCCACACAAACAATGGCATCAACCTTGTGTTCCCCCAGCACTGTGGCTACATCAGACGTCACCTGACATAACACATTAAACACGTCATGTCATTGAAAGATGGAGGGGAAGTTATTTTGATTAAAGTGCACAGAAAATAATTTATAATGACTAATGCAATATTTCATAAAAAAAAAAAAAAAGAATTGTCAGTTTTCATTTCAGGTTATGAGAGCTGATAGAATGTTACAGAGAGTTTTTCAAAAACAGACAATCTATCACAACCTGTCTCAGTAAATACTAAATTAAATAGTCATGTGCTTTGCACAGTCCCCAAAACTTTCATGTTATGTCCGAGGAAAACAATGCAAAACATCGGAGGTGAACCCATTATCTGGAGTGATGGGGGTTAAAGGTTTATACTAACCCAGGGTTAACAATTTCGAGAATGAAAGTGCAATAGTGTTACAAGACCACATAACGAGGAACACAATGCCATGCCACAAGGAGGACAGCTCCAGCGGTGCCATTTAACTGACACTATTATTAACAGCAAATCAATGGCAGACACAATAAGGCCGATAATGAGAAAAGATTGCTTGTCCAGAACACTGGGGATGTCATGGCAAGGCAGGAAATTACTTTGGCAGTGTAAATGGAAAGTAGATGGCAGGATGACAGGCCATTTAATAAGCCCTATGAGCTGACAGACACAAGCAGATGTGACGTCAGGACATTGGCTCCACCCACCTGAGCGGCTTGATCGGTGAATGACTCGCAGACCATCACCAGGACGTTTGCGTTCGCTTCTTCATTCGCTACTATGTCAATGCTGGCAACCCACTTTAATATAAAATAAACACTTTGTAGCTATGAAACATGTTAACAATACATGCTATTAAAATAAGTAGCCTATGCAAGTAATAATGCATTGCAAATCAATATTTCAGGCGCATCAACAGGTGTCAGTTTAAGCACACGCACCAATTCACAGTGACTCGGTTCCTATAGAATTAAAGATTAAAGAATTAAAGTTCCTACAAATTAAAGAATCGTTTCCACTCACCCAACCTTTCGACCTAAAATATTTCACACACACCGAGCCAAGAGCTCCTTTTCCTCCGTAAACAAGGACACGGTTCGCAGCTGCCATGGCTTTTCTTCGCTGTGTGAGACGCTTCAGCAAAGATGATGAGTAACGTAGGCTATCCTCTCGTAGAGAGAGAGAGAGAGAGAGAGAGAGAGAGAGAGAGAGAGGGAGAGAGAGAGAGAGAGGGAGAGAGGGAGAGAGGGAGGGATACACACGCGCGCGTGTAGCAGTTAATGATTGGTTCAAACCGGTATTCCGCCCTAAACTCCACAGTAATGCAAGCCATCTTTAAAAAATAGATGCTTAAAATCGGTAAAGCAAAGAAAAGGAAGACTTTTTATTGATTAATATAACTCACATGAGAAAATCAGTATATCCTTTGACTTATAGGCGCCTAATTGAATATTTCAGGGGGGATATTTTTTGAAAGTGAATTTCTAAACACGTCTTCGATTTTCACTATTATTACCTAACAACAACAACAACAACATAAATCTTTTGTGACAACATACGCAGCAAAAGAAAAACTGTAGGTTACAACAAAGTATGAAGCACAAATAATTTCCAAAAATATTAAAATGTAACAAATCTATTAAATAAACGTTTTGTAATCAATATATTTTAGAAATTGTATATCACGAGCCTGACATTTACGAAAAATAGATCTCATCTATTTTTTTTTTTAAATCACTGCTAAAAACATCCATGTGTGACAACCCGACTCCTAAGAGCTTTATGTAAATTAAAATCTTTTAACATAACAGTTTAGGCTACATAATAGTTTTATTGATTTAAATAGACTATGAACGTATTTGAAACAATACGGTTTATACAATTTGTATATTGCAATGAAGCAATATACAAACTGAACCAACACTATTGCTAATAAGCATGTAGATAATAAAGTACAAAGTCCTCCCATCTCTTTTGCCAAGTCATGGTGATGTAACTTTTGCAAGCCTTGCGGGCTGCAAGCAATTCCAATGCATGTACCTCATTGGTAATTGTGGAATGGATGGGTGTCAAAGTACCCGAGGAACAAAGAAAACAATATAGCATAGGCCAAAGATGATGATGAAGAAAAACCCATTGATAATGTTAGAAAGCCCGTGAGTGATATATTGTAGCTTAAATGTGCAAGGTTACTTTGTAAATTTGTACCACAAGAGAGCAGCAGACTCACATGAAGAACCAGAGATGATGTGAAAGCACTTCCCATGTGCTCTTAGAAAGAGCAGGGGCGTAGCAAGCTGGGGCAAAGGGGACTAAGTGACAACAGGGAGTCCAGAGCCATGGGGCCAGAGGACCTACACGATTTCTACCAAGATGTTGCATATTATGTAGAGCAGTATGTTATCTAATAAGCATAATATAATACAAGCACTATACATTTTGCATTGCAGCCGTAAGTCTAATTACTGTATGCTTTCCAGATGGACAGATGTTCTATACATCTTCAAAAGAGAACCTCAGCAGTATTGTCAGCTCAGCTCCTTTTGACTGTCCCGAAAACTAGGCTCATCACCTGCAGGGACAGAGCGTTTTCAGTGGTAGGACCACGGCTCTGGAATAGCCTACCTATCTCCGTTAGATCCGCAGAATCTGTTGAGCAATTTAAAAGCAGCCTAAAAACACACCTGTTTTCCATAGCGTTCAACACTGTTTAAGCAGGTTACTTTGGCCGTTCTACTACTGTATGTTTTATTTTCTATTACGTAATGTTCCATTGTATTTTATTATTTTGTGATTGTTTTTGATTAATTGATTTTATATGTACAGCACTTTGGTCAGCGGAAGCTGTTTTTAAATGTCCTTTATAAATAAACATGACATGACATGACATTGTAATGGATGGCTTTTGGTTTCATACTCAAACACTGGGGTCTCAACAGGCTGCGGGGGAGAGTTATTAAGTTTCTCTGTTTGAACCTATGCTCTCTCTACATTCATTCAATATTCACCAAAGAGTTTCTTCAGGCTCTTCAGGTCCCCTGAGTGAGTGAGGAATACATTAGCTGAAAACATTGTTATTTTTGAAAATGACAACAACAACAATAGTGCTTGAAACACTGAAAATCACTGCTACCACCACAATGGCTCTTCTTACTAAACATGCTTTGAACATTTTGTAAAAAATGTACACATATTTTTATGCAGATTTTTTAGGGATGTCTACAATACATTTAAGGTAAATGTCAGGGTTATGTTCAAGTCTGTTTAGTTTCATTGCGCATTTCAGTGTGCATCACAATCAGCTCCATATTCAACAGTCAGGGCACTGCATGGATTCATCCATTTTAAAGGATTAGTTCACCTCAAAATGAAAATTCCCTGATTTTTCTCACCCCAATGCCATCCAAGAGGTTCATGTCTTTCTTTTTTTTTTTTTCAGTGGAAAAGAAATTAAGTTTTTTTTGAGGAAATCATTTCAGGATTTTTCTCCACACTATGGACTTCAACATTAACCAAATTGGTGAAGTCCAAATCAATGCAGTTTCAAAGGGCTTTGAAAAGGGCTTCAAACTAAAGGGCTCTGCACGTTCCAAGCTGAGGAATAGGGTCTTATCTAGTGAAACGAGCGGCCATTTTGTAAAAAAAAAAAAGAATAAATTAACCACACTTGTTTGTATTGTGCTAGTCTTTGGCGTGTCAGGCAATAATCACGTTGAAAAGGTCACGTTCGACGACGAAGACTGAAGTACCGCCTCGTTGTTTACAAGCGTGGAGAGGGAGGATTTTGCTCCTGTTCAAATTTCATTGTATATTGAATGACATATTTATGTTTTGTGTCAGTTTATTGTTTAAAATGGTCTTTTCGGGTCCTGGATGTTCTTAAAACAATGGGGTGGTACTTCCGTCTACGTCCAGCATGACTTTTCCAACATGATTACGTAATGATGAACGATAGAAAAAGATGAACAATAGAAAAAAAAAGAACCAAGACGAACAATTGTGGTTAAAAAGTATATGGATTTGTATTTGTATTTTTTTTTTTTTTGGCCGCTCGTTTCACTAGATAAGACCTTATTCCTCAGCTGGGAATGTGCAGAGCCCTTTGAAGCTCCTCAAAGCCCTTTGAAACTGTATTGATTTGGACTTCAACAATTTCAACAACAAACTGAACTGTTTTCCTCAAAAAAATGTAATTTCTTTTCCACTGAAGAAAGAAAGACATGAACATCTTGGATGGCAACGTTTGCTCCCTAAAAAGTCTCACAACACACCATGAAAACCAGGGAGCATCAATGCTATGATTCCTTGACAGAAGTTCTGAAGTGCATAACATAAAACATGTGAGCCAACTCACTACAAGTTTTTTAATATACAACCAATTATTGAATTAAATTTCAGCAGAAAATAGACAGGTAATAAACATAATCTGGCTAACATTTATAATCTATTTCCTGCTGAAATGTTGCACAGGTATTTATCATAATGTACATTAACATAATGATGTCAGAAAGATATCAGATTTTGATCATAAATTCCAGTAGTGCTGTACAATGAGGATGTTACCATGTCACCAGAAATAGTCATCAGTGTCCCAATATGTAGTGAGACAGGGTCCTTACTGTCCACCAGTGCCTGAATTAGTGAACATAGTATTGATTTATGACCTTGTGGGAGCTGATTGAGTAACACAGTCTCATCCCAAAAAGTCATATAACTGACGTCTTGGGACGTCTTTTGACCATACGTCAATATCCGCCTTTTTAGGGCCCCCTTAAACGTCGGTAGATGGCGATCCCGGGCCGTCATACAACTGACGCTTTACCTTTAACGTCAGTTAGGTGACGGGTTAGGTTTAGGTCTGGGGTAGAGTTAGGATCCCATAACCTCATCTACCGACGTTTAAGGGGGCCCTAAAAAGGTGACGTATTGACGTATGGTCAAAAGACGTCCCAAAACGTCAGTTATATGACGTCTTGGGATGAGACCGGGTGGATTGAGAGGTCACTCTTGGTTTCGCTTTGCCTGTGTTATAGTCCCTCACCTCTTCGCAGTTCTGTTGATTACTCTGTGTATTTAAACCCTTAGTTTCTTCTTTTTATGCTTTCGTGTCATTTATTTTGAAGTGGTTGTGTCAACATGAGTTTTATTCCTGTATTATCCTGCATGTCTTCCAAGATAAGACTTTGCTATTGAATTTTCTCTGTCATGTTCAATTATTACAGCCACCCAAATATAGTAAATGAGAGAAATATGAGTTTTAATTAAAGGTGCTGTATGTAACTTTTTACTCCACTAAAGCTTAAAATATGCTTAAGATATTTAGGAATCATGTTAAGTTCACATACTCGTTTCTCTGAAAAACACTTCTACAGCCAGTTATTTTACTTATTATGTTACACGTTCCATGTTGTCAGTCGGGCTCTGTTTTGGTCTGTGTGACTCATTAACTTACAGTCTGTAAGTCTCCTTGGTTTTCATCTTCAATTGCGCTCGCTCCTGTTGCGTCCTCAAACTGGCAACCCGTGACGAGCCTGAGGGGGCAGGAGAGAAAACGCTCTCTGATATTTTTAATTTGGACTAGAAGAACAATTAAAAGCATACAGGGTCTTCACAAAGTAAAAAAAAAAAAAAAGTTTACATTGAAGTTTCTAAATTAAATTTCTGTTATTGTGTGTGGCTACATTAGTACTTCCTGTTGCAAGTCAGGAATCTTGGTGTGTCTCTAGAGTCAGACCTTAGTTTCAGTAGTCATGTTAAAGCAATAACTAAATCAGCATACTATCATCTGAAAAATATTGCAAGAATTAGATACTTTGTTTCCAACCAAGACTTAGAGAAACTTGTTCATGCTTTTATCACCAGCAGGGTAGATTACTGTAATGGCCCCTCGCTGGCCTTCCTAAAAGGACCATAAGTCAGACGCAGCTCACTGCAGGACCAGAAAATATGAACATATCACACTAGTCCTCAGGTCTTTACACTGGCTCCCAGTTACATTTAGGATTGATTTTAAAGTATTATTACTGGTATATAAATCATTCAATGGGTTAGGACCTCAATATATTGCAGATATGCTCACTGAATATAAATCCAACAGATCACTCAGATCATTAGGATCGCATCAGCTAGAAATACCAAGGGTTCACTCTAAGCACGTAGAGTCTGCTTTTAGCCAGCCAGCCGCAGATGAAACTAGCTTCCAGAGAAGATCAGATGTGCTCCTACAGTAGTCACATTCAAATCCAGACTCAAAACGCATCTGTTTAGCTGTGCATTTACTGAATGAGCACTGTGCCACTGTTCATCCGGCAGTTTTTACTGTACTGCTTTAATTGCGAGCGTCATTAAGGGTAACGGCGGCACTTGGGCTGTGGAGGCCCCGCTGGGCATAACTGGTGTAGCACCACCCCAGCAGAGTACATCCCTGGGCTAGAGGTCCAGTGGCACCGTAAACCAGCTCAGTCTCTTCCATCTCAGAATTTATTTTATTTTTTTATTCTAAACTTTTTTTGTTATTATTCTTATTTATTTTGGTTATTTTAATTCCTTCTATATAAAGCACTTTGAATTACCATTGTGTATGAAATGTGCTATATAAATAAACTTGCCTTGCCTTTTTGCAGGGATGATCATCCATGCTCATGGTCAGAATTTTTATAAATGAAATGTTATAAAGAAAGCCATACGGGATTGGATTTGCTTGTCTTAGTCATATCTCTGGCCGTCTTCATTTGTCTTATTGCATTAACAGGCTCATTGCTTGCTGTCATGGCTGATAATAAGATGTCATGGCTGACAGTCATGCCTCACCATTATGAAATTTGATGAATTCAGTCTAGCCAATGCCCACTGAAAAAAAAAAATATATTTTTTAATAAAAGGCTGTGTAGATAGATTTTGTTACATATTCTATCCATCAAATCTTAAACAATACCTGAAATTATTTTCTGTTTATAAAATACATACAGTACATTCAGAAAATATTCAGACAAATATTTTGACACATGCCAGCATGACAAAACTTGGTGTATTTACAGTAGTTGCTGTTTCAACATGGGCTATACAGAGAAAAAATGCACCAAAATTTAGAAATCTTTGTAAGATATCACTGAACATTTATTTAACCATAGCAAAAGCACTTTTCTTGCTAAGTTAAATTTTTATCTCTATTTATTTAAAATTAGACAAATCTGATATTATTTTAATCTCCAATCTGTTTTTTAACAGTTGATATAGTTCTTTAATGCTTTGCTGGAAGACACTAGCAGGGTTTAAACCCCAGTTGTGCAGTTGGGGCATGTTGTAACACTTGTGCTACAAAATGCCCATAGAAATATGCTATTAAATTCTACACTTTTATGAATTCTATTGAGAAAACACGAGAAACATAAATAAAGACTGAGAGTCAATGTTCAAAAATTATTAATTATTATTTTGTTTTGTGCTGTATAGCTGTATTTTCCTGGGTGTTTGTTGTCAAACTAAAAAATGTGTATATTTTTAATTATTAAAAAAATGCCATTATTTCATATGAAAAAGTTAATAATTTTAATTTCTTAAAAAATATATTTTGGTTTAACTTGTATATATTTTTTGTTGTTAGATGATGATGTTACAATGTATATACATGGGGCATGTTGTCACATTTCACTTTCATTTTTTCAGGGTAAATCAAGAAAAAAGTATACACTGTAGTAATAAAACAAAACCACATAATTTAATTAGACATTACACAGTTGGAAATTAATGTGGGAAAAAATAAATACTCTAAACCCCAAGTAGATTTACTCAAACTGAGAAAGTCAAAAAGCGTTACGTTGTGCCCTGCTCTCCCCCATGTCTTCAGAATTTCAAGGTGTAGTAGTTTATTTACAGACAAAAAAAAAAAAAAAAAAAAAAAAAACAGGCCAGAGGTAAAAGTGTTCAAAGTACACATTTTGCTGTGCAGTTCTTATTTTTCGAATCCTCTTATCTTTAAGTGAGTGGGGTTTAAGAAGGCCCTGAAATTTTTCTGGAGATTCACAGCACAGGGGTCTCTTCTATTTTTAAAAATAACTTTGCATTTAATTGACACACCATGACACTTGAGCAAAACAGTCCTCAACAAGCAAAACATTTCTCCAGACTTTCATAGCATAATCGACAGCCTATTTGGGGAGCTCTCTATAGCACGCACAAGGTTGTTAGATTGCAATGAACTCTGACTTGAAGACCGGAAATCTCTCGCTGTGTGCAATCTTAATGGGGCATGAAGGAAAAGAAAGAGGGAGACAATAAAAACAAGATATTTGTCCTCTGCTGCATCTTAAGAGAAACACTGGCCCATTGCACCCCTGCTGTTTGCTGGTGTACAGAGCTCAGAACTTCAAAGAACATCTGCTGCTTGAGTAAACAGTGAAAAGATTACGAACTCTTTATTCACCTTGGTACATTTTAATTGTGTATAGTGGAATTATGTGTGTGGACTGTTGATGATAAGCAATCTGATAATCCTCAGAATCCTCATGTCTGTTATAGCTTTGGCTATAAGGTAGTGCACTCCTAACAATTATACAATTATCAAAATGTGATAACTTTTCTGGCCTACTCCAATTCACGATTTTCACTTCATGAGGTTAAATTTTTGACTTCTAAACAGTCCATAAAGCTGAAAGTGACAGAACATTTTATCCTCCTATCTGACATTGTCCATGCTGAACACTCATTATCTCATGCAGGCAGACTGTTCATTAAATTCATAAGTGTCATGGAACAGGTTGGTCAAATGAGGCCAGAGGTTTGACTGATTTAATGAGTTTGCTGGTGCTGGCGAACGGTGAGATGAGAGTCTGAACCTGAGCTGATTCATTTAGTGCCCAACGTCACTCATTTCAATGGGGATGAAATAAGACTGACAGACAATAGGCATCACAGTTTTCTCCTTCCAACAGGACAGTGAATGCTGCAAGGCTAATAATAATAAACAATAATATACACTTATAATTGTTTAGTATTATGATTATTAGCCTTGCAGGATTCAAAAAAAGGGATACAATAAAATGTACTTAGGCAAACTAGTAAGAGCTATGCATGGACCTCAATCCCCTGGCGGCGACTGACTTTAGCGTCCCTGTTAGCATGCCCGCCTCCCATGCCAGAGACACCGGTTCGATATCTCGCTCAGAGCAGAGCAACTCAAAAATTATACACTATGGCCTGGTTTCACAGACAGGATTTAGATTAAGTCAGGATTAGGCCTTACACTCTAAAACATGCTGGGTTTTTTTAACCCAATTTTGTGTCAAATATGGACAAACTCAAACATTGGGTTAAAAATTTTACTTAAAAATGTAACCCAATGGCTGGGTTTGTCCATATTTGACCCAAAATTGGGTTAAAACAACCCAGCATTTTTCCAGTATGACATTCCAGTATGTTCCCATTTTGGAAGTTTTGAAAAATATTCTGAGAAGAGAGGATGTTTTTCATTGTGTTAGGATACGATGTTTGATGAGGAAACACTACTCACTTAAAAAAGTTGGGTTAAAAACGACCCAACAGATAACCCAATGGTGGGTTGATATAGCACCGACCTATTGTTGGGTTATTTTAACCCAATAAATTAGGTAACTAGTTTCACCCAATAAATTGGATTACAAATAACAAATCTGTTGGGTTATTTGGCAAAAATGATTTAATCAACCTATATTATTATAATAACCGGTACTATTATTGACATATAAATAAATAACTCACAACTTAAGTATATTAACAATGCTTTATTTACATTCAATTATTGCATTCACAAATTGTTGTAAACCCTTTTTAATTTATTGTTTTTTTTTTATTGTAACATTTTTTCAGTTATTGCTTGAGTTATTGTTTGCAATTGCTTTAATTTACTTCCTTAAGGTAAGACATTCTTTCAATAAATAAACAAATAAATACATAATAGTAATGCAATTATAAACTGCCTCATAAGGCGACAGTGTTGAGGGAACACCTCAGGCACAGAGTATTAATGCTAAAATGAATTTATTTACATATATGTTTTAAGTTCTAGAAACATGGAAAACAAATACACAAAACAAACCAAAGCTTGTCCAGCTTATCCAATTAAAAACTGCCTGAGTAAGCGACAGTAAGTTGATGGACAGAAGGGCACAGAATTTATTGTGTGTTGTAGAAACTGCCAAACAGAGGCTTTGGATAGTCTATGTCTAAAGCATAAAATATTTTAAAGCATGTATCCACAGCTTGTAAAAGGCTGTCTTGCTCTAGTGCCGCTCCTCCCACAATGACGAAGGCTTGTGAGCAGTTGAATTTATCTCCAAGCTGCAGGACATGAGGGAATTGCCTCCGTTGCTCCTCCTCCTCCAAATATTGTTTGTTCCAACCTTTAAATAGAATTTTTAAATGGTAAATATGCACACATGGATTCAATATTATCGAAAAATGTTTTACCCAATATAACCCATAAATGATGTACCTACAAGCTGTAAATCAACAAATGGTTGTTTTGCCTCCTGGTAAGAGGGCCGAACCATCTTGTAGCCCTTTTTGAATGGCAATGGAGGAAGGATAGCTTGCAGGATCCAAGAGTGTCTTTACATAAAACAGAAAGAATAATAGATTAGTATAGGCCTAAGTTCTACTTTTCATGAAGTCAAATTAAAAAGGTTTCACTATATTAGTGATGCCATTCTTTAATTGTGAAGAGAGTAAATAGCAAATAGCAAATATTATCTCTCACCTGCAAATCTGTCGATTAATGTTTCAATGTTCCACTTCTGAAGTGTTTCCCTTACATATGAATCCATAGCATCCTGTGTAAAAAAAATATGAATTAGTTAATATAAAGTGAATTAACAAAAATAAAGCCTGTCACTAATCTACTATATATTCACTGTAAAATCACAGGAGCTGTAATTTTACAATAGAAGCTCCTGCAATGGCCATGTTTTGTGGTAAATGACCTTGCATTAAAACACAATTTTATAAATGTATTCGTAATCATGCAGCTATATTATTGAACTTTAATATTCATTCAACTTTTGGGCCACAACAATAGAACAATAACCAAATAAAACAATAGTTTAGCTTTTAAAAGGCAACACAGGAATTTTCTCTGTAAATCTGTACGTTCGGACAGAGACGGTCGGATCCATAAGCAGAACTTTATTATAACTTAAAACACAAGCAGACATAAACCCAGGCAAGCAGTTAAACAAGGGGCAATCCAGTAAATCGTGGTGAAAAACAGGCTATGGTCGAGGCACGCAGCACAGGTTCAGAAACAGTCCAGAAGGCAGGCAAACGTCCAGGGAAACACTTAATACTCAAAAGGAGAAAAAATGCTCAGAGATGTACACTTGCAGTGTAACAAAACTTCGCAGAGGACACAGGCAAAACTCAGGCTTAAATAAGGAACTCAATCACAGGTAATGACAAATAGCTGAACATAATAAAACATAAAGAGTCCATGGGGAAACATAGCACGGGAAGAGAGTGCCCTCCAGAGGCTCACGAGGGCACTACAGCTGCCGAACATCACAAATACGTTCATGAATTTAGATTTACATTTGGACTCTTTTTTAACGCAGTCCAGGAGGCATGAATGTTTGTTACCAGCTGTTGACAAGACGTGCTGCAGCTCGACCAATATTTCGCGTTAAGCAGGCCTACATGACCGACCAATTAAATGGTGCCATTTAAAATAATAATAAATACACACACACACACACACACAATGAATGGCGTCGCGACTCGCGGCCAGACTCGTTTATTTTAGGTCCAAAAAGATGACATGTCCGGGAAAAAGAGGACGTATGGTTACCCTAGTTATAGTATTTTAAATTCACACTCTCGGATAGCCCAAACATTTGCGCTATAATGTAGGCAGGCACTTATAACACAGCATTACGTTAACTTACCTTCTTTCTGTCAGTGACACTGGATGGATGAACAGCTGGGTCTTGAAGCCGAGCGCGTCGGTTAATATTTGGAAATTGGATGGATGGACCGGGCTTCAACTGGGTCTTAAAGCCGAACGCGTCGGTTAATATCTGAAAATATAACTTTACCAAAAAGTATTGGAGAGAACATAGAAAGTTAGGAAGCACAACCGAGTATTACAGTAAGACATTGGCTGGCTGCTTTATAGCGGACAAAAAGCAGTCAACAGGAGATATACACATGGAAATAATTGGAAGATTTAGGAAAAAGCGCAAATAATACTTTGCAAGACGTACAACGAAAAAAAAAAACGTTTACAGTATGGCTATATAGTGTAATAACTCACCCGTGTATCTTCTGTCAGCTGCGGTGCAACCGTTGAAATTTGAACTTTAACCCAACGTGCTGGTTATTATAGAAACAACCCAATAAATGTTCTGAATAACCCAACAGAACGACCCAATATTTTTTACCCAGCTATTGGGTACACAAAACAACCCAACGTTTTTTAGAGTGAAAAGACTTAACAGATGGATTACATTTTCAACAGCATGCCTTTTTTGATGGCTCTGAGACACAGCAGAGACTCCAGTTATACACTGATGAATTTGAAATTGTAACTCGTTTAAGATCCAAAAAGCAGATTCACAAAATTTCAAGTGTCTACTTTGTTCTGGGAAATATTGCTCTGAAGTATTGTTCCAGTCTTCAAAATATACATGTTCTTGTCAGACACCGATTGCTTCAGAAATATGGTTACGAGCCGATTTTGCAACCTCTTCTTCATGACTTTTGTGAACCAGGAAAAGCAGTCGAAAAACTTACCCTTTTCTGACTCTTACCTTTTTTGATTGGAAACTTCGTCCCTCAGGAAAACACTTACTGGGGTCTCTATTTCCTATTGAGATTTATTCTGTAGTTGGCACCTGTAAACAAAAAAAAGTTGGCTGAGTCCACTGTCTGCTCTCATCACAGAATTTTTGAAGAGCTATTATATTTCAGTGAAACAGGCTAGCCAGGATCTCCACACAGGACAGCAAGTTGAGCACAGAGCGAGAAGAATCTGGGAGGCAATTATGGATGACATTCTGTGATGTTTGCTTGGTACACACATCTGAAGGTGGCTCTTCCCCGGAGAAAGGTTAGAAAAGCAGCTCAAACTTAAGCCATCACTCCTTATATATGTTTGCTGTTGTGAATACCACTGACCTTGATTATAAACACGACAGAGAGTTCATCAAGTGTTCATTAGTTTTCTAGTGCGTATGATCTTCTTTTGGCTCAGTTTTACTTATTAAAGCTGCAGTCCGTAGCCTTTTTTGAGTTAAAAATGATCCAAAATACAGTTTTGACAAAATACATAACTAGCCAGTGTTCAAAACTGTCTGCTTGCCATAGCTCGATCCAAAGCGGTAAGGTTGTAATAATTAAAAAAAAGTTGCACTGGTGGATTTCCACGGGAGATTCGAGCATGTCTTTGCATCATTACATCAGATCTGCACACATAAAGAAGGAGTCTCGGCTAGTAGGCTATATTGTGTGTGAGGATGTTGAGGTGAAGATTTATAGCCATTTCTCACAGCACTTGATGTAATTAAACTTATCAATTTGATGGCGGATCCAGAAAGGTTCAAACGACAATATCCCGTGACAACAGACTCATCCGTTGTAAAATGCAAAAGACTGCGTTCGGACTTTGGAGTGGCTATAGAACAAAAGAGACTGCAACCAGACCCATGCGAAAACAAGGATACATATCAGAGAGACATCACATAGTCACGCAATGCTGATGTTGTTAACCTTAACAATTTGAGAACAAAGTATAATTTGCACAGTTTTGCGTGATATGATAAGCGATTATTAGATTTAATCAGCACGATTTACTGCAATGTCAGAACCAGAACAGTTTCTTACATGTTCAGATTATATTTTCCGGTGAAAATGATTATGTTGGTTATACTTCCAAAAAGAATAATCTGTGATTCTGAATGACAGTTTACACACCATCGCGACGACTGACAGTTTGACAGTCTTCTCAAACATTGTCTTCATCTGCACTGTGTTGTGTGGAAGTACAACTCAAGTTAATAATTCCGCAAATAACTGCAATTGCAGATTTCGAACAGAGATGGTGACAAAGAGGAAAAACTTACATTTAAATAAGATAGGGTAAATATAAACCATAATTATCCGACCATAACTTCTTTATTAGATGGTCCACTGGAAGTGCAGAGACCACATGAAGGGCTTCAAGCTCCAGCTTCTTCAATTCTTTCACCCTGAAGAGACAGAAACATCCCTCTCCTTCAGCTAAGTATAGAGCTTTGAATGGCCTGAGATAGACAGATAAAGGGACCTCTCTCACTTCTCTCAAATAATTTTTTACTCCTTGAAAATTCTACTTCAACACTAGCAGTCACGGTTTTGATCACCTGTGGATTGTGTGGTACAGAGATCACTGCATTCCTTTTAGTATCATATCACACTGTTGAATTTCTCAGCTGTAAATTTCATTGCATATATAATTAATCCTAAATTGAAAGACGATGAATACAATAATCTTTTAGCTGACTGAATGCATTTGAAGAGTTAAAGCACTGCATGTTTTTAGATTGTGGGGTAACCGGAGGAAACGCATAGACACAGGGAGAACTTCATAACTCCACACAGAGAGGACTCCTGGCTAATTTTTTTTTTTTTAGAATAGCCTATACCTAAAAATTAGTCTGCCTGATGGATATCACTGAGGTACCTTGAGAATTTTTTATGCAAAATAAATATACTTAAAAAAAGAACAATCTCTTGATTCAACATCAATATCAAAAGAACTGATCAAGATCTATTCTTTAATTCAACTTTTAGATTTTCAACCCCCTCTCCTTATGCTAATGAGACAGTTAAACTACAGTATAGCATTTAGCACGTAACAGTAGGCATAAATCCACTTAAACGCAAATCTATGAAGATGATATGGAGAACAGAGATGCCTGATGAAAATGAGGTGCTTACTGAGAGTTTTTCTCCAACACACACACACACACACACACACACACAATTAGGGATTTTCTGAGAATTATTTTTGGCTGGATTGGTGGCTCTTGCTAAACCTTGACAATGTTTTTTTTATCTTATGCTGTTGAATGAGCTCTAAAGCCAGATCTATATCACTACAACACTTTGAAGCCTGAGTTGTGAGGTTTTCAAAAGGCCTATCATACCAAGAGTGCTTGGATGTCTTTAATGAACGGAGATGTCTCAATGAATCCCTCTGTTCTCTGCCTTCATCCTCTCTGCCATTCCCTTTTTTTATGCAGAGCTGATATGACATGAGTTGAAAGGCCTTTTTAGTTTTGATTGTTCCATTTAGGCTAACTATGCTTCTTCATGTTTAGACATGAAATGCTCATCACCATCCTTAACGTGATTAAAAGGACAAATGATAATCAGAATGATTAATATTTTCAGCTCAAACAACCACTTCTTGAAGCTTATATGCAGTTAAACTCAATTTTTCATGATCAAAATTATATAACGTCAACTCGTCACCGTCAAAAATGACATGATTGTAACTAAACAGCGCGCGCACCTCCGTATCCCATAGACACCATTTACTACACACAACAGGCTTTATCCTCTGATTTTGAAAACTCTTCACGATCGACTTCAAATGCTTCCAAGATCAACTTGACGACTGTGACCGACAGGTTGGTGATTCCTGTAAAATATTGTTTTACGGTCAATGACAAGAGTACTAATCAGCTGTCTCACGAACGTAACCAGCACATTTATCCCCACGTAGCAAAGCCATAACACAGCAAGTGAGAAGAACTAAGTTACATGAAACAGTCCAAGTACATATTTTACACCATTGACAAGGGAAAAGTCACTATATGGTGTTTATAGCTAG